CTTGAGGTCTAGAAACATGATATACTCATGCTATCAATTGGATATTTCCATTTTATCAGTATTTCTCCAAATGACCCAAAGATAGGCCTGTCTAAAATCCAGAACAAATCTATATTCACTTTGCCCATATGCAGCTTTCTGGGTTTTGTTTGTTTTTGCCTTTTTTTTTGGTACCAAGGATTGAACTCACGACCTCATGCTTGCTAGGTAGGCACTTATGCAGCTGAGCTAAATCCCTGGCCCTCATCTTGTCTTTTCTTTTTTTTATACCAGGGATGGAACTCACAACCTGGCACTTACCAGGTAGTACTTGAGCTGCTGAGCTAAATCCCTGCCCCTCTTCCTTTGTCTTTTTAAGACAGGGTTTCACTATCAGTTCAGGTTAGCCTTGAGCTCACTTTGTAACCTAGGCTGGCCTTGAATTTGCAGCAATTCTCCTGCTTTAGCCTCCGCATGTGCTGAAATTACAGGGGAGCACCACTATATTTGGCTACTTCCTGGGTTGCTTTATGTTTATTTGTTTTGTTTTGGTATGGGAGATCCAACTAGAGAGGTTAAACCCCCACTCCAGCCCTGTTTCCTGGTTTTTGCAACAATAAATAATTCTGAAACAAACACTTTTGTTGGGGGCCTGAGATTTTGCTCAGTGGCATAAGCGCCTGCCTGGCAAGTGCAACCTAGTAAGTTTGATCCCTTGTACAAAAAAAAAAAAGAAAAAAAAATTTGTGTATCTGTTCTTTTTATCGGTACCAGGGATCGAACTCCCCATTGCCTACTTGCAAGACAGGTGCTTATGCTGCTGAGCTAAACCTCCAGCCCTGTGTTTCTCTTCTTACAAGCTTGAATTTTCTACTACAATGTAATGTTGCTACACTAATTTCCAAAGGATTGAGAGGTTCACATTTTTGCACACAAAGGCTTAAGTACCTGTTCCCTAGGAGGGCTAAATGAGGTGCTTTTTGACCAGGTTCCTTGCAATTGCTAGGCAAATGCTTATGCCACTGAGCTAAATCCCCAGCCCTCTTGGTTTTTTTTTTTTTTGTTTTTTTTTTTTTTACTATTTTCTTTTTGGTACCTGGAACTGAACTCAGGGCATTGTGATTGTCAGGCAGGCAGGCGCTGTACTGCTGAGCTACATCCCTGGCCCAGCCTTCCTGTTTTTAATTTAAGGTTCACAAACCACTATATAATTGATAAATGTTTCATGTGGTAGAGTCCCATTGCTCAAACTTGGTTCAACTTTTCAGCAGAGGTTCCTCATCTCCATTCAGCCTAGAGTTCCATGTCTACCCATCAGCTGGCCAGCTCTCAAGTAAATACTAGAGAAAGGTTCTGCTGCCTCCTTTCCTAGAGGCTTCTAGAGGAACCTGAAGCATAGGAAACCACAGTGACAGGGAAGTGTCAGGAAAGTGTGAGAGGGGAGTTCTAAATCCACTGTAGGGCAGCACATGGAACAGTCCTCGGTGCCTAGTGCTGACCACAGCTGCCGTCCCTGCGTGACTCTGGGTTGTCTCAGTGAGTGCAAGGCAGCGCACTAGGACTACAGTTAAACAAAATCCACAATCAGACCTCTGTCCCTTTAAGTTAGGATCTGTCTGGGAACACCAGGAAGCCTAGGGGAGGAGGGCACAGTCCAGATTCCAGGGGAACAAAGGACCCCCTTAGTCTTGACTCTGAGATCTTCCTTCCTCTACAGCTAGCCTGAGGTTTGCCAGGTTAACTCTTGCTGCCAAATACAAATGGGAGGCTGAGGGTAACTTAATGGTAGAACATTTGCCCAGTGCGTGCCAGGCCCTGGGTTTCAGTGCCAGCACTGAAAGAAGCAGGAAAAAGAAATATAAACAAGTATAGTTCCTCCCTCTCCTTGCCATTTCCAGCCACCCAATTTCCCTCCCCTGAAGTCAACCAGTCCAGTCTGTTGCTGAACATTTCCAGAGTCATTCTGTGCCTTTTACACAGATAGGCAGACGACAGACAGACACACACACACACACACACACACACACACACACACACACAAAATGTTTTCCCTTTTGTACAAAACTGATAGCCTTCTGATAGCCTTTTGTGCACAGTTTCTTTTTTCTTTTCTTTTTATTTTTTTATTGTATTTTTTGTTTGTTTTTTTCGTTTTTATCATTACCAGGGATCGAACTCACGACTGCCTGCTTGCAAGGCAGGCACTTATGCCACTGAGCTAAATCCCAGCCTCTATTGTATTTTTTTTTTTTTTTTATGTGCACAATTTCTTTGAGCTCATGCTGCTGTATCTGGTGAACCTATAGCCACAGTAAAACTTGGTATTATGATAGCTAAAGGTTCCATGATTGGAATGTCCATCAATAAGAGTTAACATCTAAGTGCATCTGTACACAATAACAGTGGACACGCTTTTATGATCACAGCGCAGGGAAAAGTCAGGAGGTGGAATCACTGAGTGGAGGAGACTGTTTGTTCTTGCTATTCCTGATGGCTGGAGGTTCTCAAGGCCCATCCTAATTTATGCATACTATATTGAGTGTTTATAGGCCCACCATCTCACCTTTCCTGTGTAGTCAAATGTTTTGATGTTTGATCTTTTAGGTGAATAAAGAAGTTATCTTTATTATTATTTTTTGGCGTGTGTGTTTTTGAGACAGGGTCTCACTATGCAGTTCAGGCTGACCTTGGGCTCATTTTGTAGCCCAGGCTGGTCTCGAACTTGCAATGATTCACCTGCGTCAGGTCTCCGGAGTGCTGGGATTATAGAAGTGTGCCACCACGCCCGGCTCAAGAAGTTATCTTTTTTTTAAAAAAGAAGTTATTTTAATTTTAATGTTTTGTTTTTGAAGACATGGTTTTGTTATGTAGTCCAGCCTGGCTTTAAACCCAGTAATGCAGCCCAGGTTAGCCTCGAATTTGTAGCAATCCTTCTACCTCAGCCTCCATAATCCAGGGATTCCAGGTGTGGACCAGTACTTTTTGTGTTCCTCTATAGAGGAAGGCTCTCCCCTTCCTGTTTCATCTGCACATCCTCCTAGGAATTCTGTAGCCCTTAGGCCAGTGATGGTGAATCTTTTAGATAGAGACTAAGTGCCCAAACTGCAACCCCAAATCCACTTATTTATCCCAAAGTACTGACATTGCAATTAAATCAGAATGTTGACAGTCTAGGGTTTAGCTTAGTGTCACAAGTGCCTGCCTGGCAAGTGTGAGGTCCTGAGTTCAATTCCTGATACCAAAACAAAGCATGAATATTGAGGTTTTAAAAAAAAGGAAACTTATTCAATGCTTGGCTGCTGGGTGACTTGCTTGACAACAGAGAGGGCCACAGGTTTATCAACAGGCCCTACATTTTGTTAATTTTCTTTCTTTCTTTTTCTTTTCTTTTCTTTTTTTTTTTTTTTTTTTTTTTTTTTTTTTTTTTGGTACTGGGTATTGAACTCATGCCTCACACTTGCCAGGTAGGCACTTTTTTTTTTTTTTAATAATTTTTTTTTTTTTGTCTTTTTCCTTTTTATCGGTACCAGGGATCGAACTCACGACTGTCTGCTTGTAAGGCAGGCGCTTATACTGCTGAGCTAAACCCCCAGCCCCTAATTATTAATCTTTATTTTAGAAGCAGTGCCTTGCTGTGTAGCTCAAACTAGCCTCAAAATTTCAATCCTCCCTCATAGTTAGGATTATAGATGTGCACTAACATGCTAGGTTTATTTATTTATTTATTTATTTATTTTTGAGACAGGGTCTTGCTATGCAGTTCAGGCTGGTTTTGAACTATATAGCCCAGGCTCACCTGGAATTTGTCATCCTGCCTCAGCCTGTGAGTGCTGGCTGGAATTATAGGCACGTGTCACCATACCTGTTTTGCTCTGCGGAAAGCTGCTTTGTTTTTTTGCCTTTTTGAAATGGAGTTTCTCTGTGCAGTTGAGGCTGGCCTTGAACTCACTTTGAGGCTGGCCTTAAACTTGAAAGCCTCCTGAGTGTTGGGATTTCAGATCTGTGTCATACTTAATCAGAAAGCTTTTCACGAAGTTGGATGTCTCCAGCTCATCTCCAAGGTTTCTGGTATTTAGCAAAATTTTCTTCAAATTCTGTGCCAAGATTTTTATGGTTTCTTTGCTGCACTTACTCTTTATTTTCTCTTTTTGGTACCTGGGATGGAATTCATGACCTTGAGCTTGCCAGGCAAGTGCTTGTGCTCTTGAGCTAAATCCCTGGCCCTAACCTGTTTATCTTTTGAGCCGGGCTTGCTATGCATTTCAGGCTAGCCATGAACCATGTAGTGCTCAACTCGAGGGGATCATCCTGCCCCAGTTCCTCTGTGTTGGGCTTACAGGCATCCACCACCATGCCCGGTATTAAATCTTATTTTTGAGGCCGTTCCGCTAAATTGCCCACGCTGACCTCAAACTTTATCCTTCGGGATCAGCCTCGGAAGCTGGCCATGCTCTAGAGTGCGGGGCAGCAACTGTGTTTTACTCTCAGGTGCTTTGTGGCTTGAGGGTTCCGAAGGTCCAGTAGTACTCTGACCAGGTCTCATCTCCCCTAAGTCAGGCCCCTCTGCGTGGAATCTCGCGATCCTCACCTGCACAGAGCTGATGGCCAGGGAGGCTGTGGCGCTTCCAGGAAAAATTTCGGGTCCTTTTATGTCCCCTTCGCAACTACAATTCAAGCTCATCACGTCCCACAGTTCTGCCTGACTTCTCGGTTCGGGTCCCATTATCATTCCACATGATCTCTCCGCCCCTGATCCCATACATCCCGCTTGAACCCCTTTGTGCCAGTCTCCCCATATACTTCTCGCGGTAACCCCTCCCCCACTGTCCTCAAGCATCCCGTGTGACCCTTCCAGTCCCCGTTCCCAGTAGTCTACGTCACCCCTCCATCCTTTGCCTTGGGTGTTCTGGGGTTCCGCACTCCCCCCGCGCTCCGCCCCTCCTCCTGCCCCTATGACCGTCCGCGGGGCCCCCCCACCCCGGCCCCGGGAGGGGCGGGGCGGGGCTTGGCAGGCGGAAGTGCCAGGGGCGCAGTGGCCGGCTGGCCGGCCATGGGAGCGCTGCGCCCAGACTGCGGCGGGGGCGGCGCGGGGCGCGCGGAGCTATGCGCTGGGCCGGCGCGGGCACCCGGGTAGCGGAGCGGGCGGCGACAACGGTGGTGGGGCCGCTGCTCCTGCTCCTGCTAGCGCAACACCTGCCTTCCGCCGGCGGCTACGGTAGGAGCGGTGAGCGAGGGCGGGCCCGAGGCGCCCGCCATTGGGGGGCGCGGGCGGTAGGGGAGAGCCGGGGCGGGGCCCATTGTGACTCACCTGGGGACACCTGTGCGCTCACCTGGCACCGGCGGGGACCGAGGTTTCCCCCGTGTGGTACCGGCGCAGCGCCTCGGTAGAAGGAACATCTGCTATCCCTCTCCCGTCCCCGGCTGGATCCGGCCAGCTCAGCCCCCTGAGAGTGTGCGCTCCTCTCCTTTTCCCAGCGTGTTGGGGACGGGAGCTGACCGTCATAAGCCTGAGTGGAGAATGGAGTGACTTAGCCTGGATGGCCCTCTGGGAAGAGCGGTGGGACAGAGGGAGTCTAGGGCCTCCGTTTGCTCTTGTGGAGTCGTAGACATGGGATAAAGTTGCTTAGACTGTAAAGCACGGATCCCGTGGGCATGTTTGCACACCTCCCACAGTGTCCCCCAGTCCAGTGTCATTGGCCTTGATGGAGGCAGAGGAGGCTGTCCAGCCAAGGAGGGACAGGAGGGGAACTTGCCTGCCTGCCTTTGCATTTCTGCTTCCTGAGTGTCCGCTTCCTACCTGAAGACCAATGAGGTGGCTAGAACGCCCAGGGACTGAGATGCAAACAACCAGGCCCTAGACACCTGGCAACAGGACCTCCTTTCCCTACCCCTGTAGGCTGGAACTCCTAGGGGTGTGCATCCCTGGCAAGCTGGCTTCAAGAGTCCCCATGCTCCTGGCCACCATTGCCTGCTCCTTGGGCACCCGCAGCTAGCTCATCCAGTGCTTCTGAGGCTGGCTCCCTTTCCTTTCCCTGCTGCAGGCTTCCTCTGAAATAATGCTTCTCCAAGCTCCTATTTCTTTTGATGGTTCTGCCTCCTGGTTTTTGAACTTGGCACCACTTTGAAATGAAAGGCAGTTTTCCCCGAGGAACCTGCTTCTGATTAAATTGCTCCATTGGACACAGACACCCTATTTCTCCTATTTCTCTCTGGGGCCAGGACTGTGTGAGAGGTCATTAGTGATCGAGATGTGTGCAGAACAGCCTAGTCAGGCTGGGTGGGGACTTTATGGGCTAGGTTAGTCTCTCTGTCCTCCCCAGACTGCTGAGGGGCAGGCAGGCAGCTCTGTGGCACTAGCTGAGATCTGTGGGTAGGCAGGGTAGGGTGTGAGCCAAAACTCAAGCTCCTTTCTTTCTTTTTCCCCTCCATATCCAACTTGTGTCCCTGGGATGTGGAGTGGGCAGAGATGTGTGACTGGTCTTTCCTATCCTTCCTGATGCGATAATGGAGCTCAACCCATCTTGCAAACTTCCTAATTTGATCACCAAAATAACATTGTGGGAGTCTTGAGAAGCTTGGAGAGGCTGCTTAGCGTTTGAGACCTTAGGCTGTTTTTTTTTTTTTTTTCTTGTTTTATCTGTTGAAACACCATCACAGCCATCCCCTGGGCTCCAAGTGTCCTCAGGCTGACTTGGGGGTGGGGTGCTTTTCTCTAGCAGTTTAGGAGAGTTGTACCTAATGGGTGATCTCCCTTCCCTGCCCCTGGGTGTGTATCTAGTAGGCTGCCTCTATTAAGGCTCCATTGTCCTAGGGGTGGGAGACTGTCCTGACTTAGTTCCTAGAACTTTCATTTTTCTCTCTATATTGTCATGTAGGCCCTGTATCACTCAAGGGCTTGTAGAAATTCCCCGGTACCGATAAAAGGAAAAAGACCAAAAAAAAAAAAAAAAAAAAAAAAAAGAAAAGAAAAAGAAAAAGAAACTCCTGACTTGGGCCACCACCTGGTAGGTGAGTCTGGTGGCCTTGCAGGCACTTGGAACCTGTTGTGGGTGGAGCCTGCCTTGCCCAGCACCTATCCAGGCTTCTCTGAAGCTGCTAGCATTGCCAGCAGGCTATCTGTTCACCAGGTTCCTCTGTGGAGGAGTAATGAGGCTGGCAGGAGAGGCAGCTGCTCACCTGACTCTCCTCTTCCTTGGGAAGGTGTAGACCAGTCATTCTTCTAGAGGGAGGCTTCCTAGGTAGGGAACATTCAGTGCTTCCAGTGTTAGGCACTGGAAGCACTTTGCCACACTCATTAACCTCAGGAACATGCTGTACACCTCAGCCTACCCATGAGGATGTTGGAACCCAGAGGGGAAAGGGTCACATGGACACAAGGCCTGACTGGCACTAGGGCTGGCATGAGGGCCTGAGAACTCTATAAGGCCTGGTGCTGTGAGGAGCCCTAGTTAGGGGCTGTGGGCCCCTGCTTTGTCCTCTACCAAGAAGCTTGGACATGTGTCCCGTAGATAGTTAGAGGCCATCCATCCAGTATGAGGCCAGACACCTGGCATTTCGGCTGTAGTTCTGGGGGAGAAGAGGCAGAAGAATGAAGCCTGAGGGGAAATTTCCAACTGTCAAGACCAAGGGCTGGAGGACAATGGGGACCTTTGTCAACATCAGGGTTAGCCCGATAGGTGCTCTACTGACCCCAGGACTTCATTTCCTAATTCCTTTCCCTCTGGGAACCTCGTTTCTACCTGTGTTCCATCCCAAGCGGTGCCCTGCACTGACTGATAATATTCTTTCCCTGCAGAAGCCAGGCTGGTGTCTGAACATTTCTCACAGGCCCCACAGAAGTTGTCGTTCTACAGCTGGTATGGCAACGCCAGACTCTTCCACTTCCGGGTGCCCCCAGACACTGTGCTGTTGCGCTGGCTGTTGCATGTTTCCTGGGACCGTGACTCCACATGCACTGATGCAGAAATCACTGTGTAAGTATGAGACTCCTGCACAAAGCACTAGTGCCTGGCCAAGGCCTCTACCTAACTGTAGTTCTTTCTCTACTTTCCCTCCTTCAGGCATTTCCGCTATGGCGCTCCTCCTGTCATCAATCCACTGGGCACCAGCTTTCCTGATGACACCATGGTGCAGCCTTCCTTCCATGTCAGGGCACTGCTAAGTACCATGCTGCTGGGCAACACTACTGTCAATATGTCCCACCCAGCCCCTGGGGACTGGTTTGTAGTCGCCCACCTGCCCCCCTCTTCTCAGAAGATCGAGGTGAAGGTGAGGGGGCTGACCTCCAGGATGGGGACAGAGTCCCTGGTGCATGGGTGACCTATTGTCCACCTCTTTGGGGCAGGCTGCTCTGGGCTAAGCCACCCCACCTGGATGAGCCCCAATTCCCCTGAGCCTGTTTCCAACCTCTGTACCCTGCATTCTCTGATATCCTTGGGCTTTGTTGTCTTCGTAGGGCTTTCCCTCCTGTGTTTACTCCTTCCAGCCTGACATGCTGGTTACACGGGTGGTCGAGGTCACCATCCTGGAGCCTGATGTGCCCCTTCCACAGATCCTAGTTGCCCACCCCAGCTATCTCAAGTGAGTGGGTCCTAAAAGAGAACTGGGTCTGCCTTGTGACTTCAGCCTTCTGGGTTGGAGTGGGTGGTACCACTATTCCCAGCCTGGTCCTATACCTTCGAGTTGTACTGGGAAGTGGGGACAGATTCCTTGCCCAGGTAGATTAGAGGAAGTACAGAGGCTGAGCAAGGTCATACCACCTGCCCCAGGATCTTTGTCCCTGAGTACACCCAGGAGCTTCGGCTGGAGATACAGGGCTGTGTATCCAACATGAGCCTAGGATGCCCAGTACGTCTCACAGTGGGTGTGGCCACGCTGCCCAGCAACTTCCAGAAGGTGCTGACTTGCACTGGCTCCATCCTGTCCTGTCGTCTGCTGCTGCCCTCACCACCCTGGGGCCAATGGCTACAAGTGATAGCTGAGAGCCTGGAAGGGCCCCACGTGTCAGTGGCCTTCAGTGCTGAGGCTGCCCTCACAGGTGGGCGACATGGAGGAAGGTGGGTGTCTCTCTTTTCCCTTGACCCTAAGGCTTTCCTCCAGCTGAACCTTTTGTCCTTTTAACAGTCTGCAGGCCATGGAGCATGACCTTCCAGCACCTTGTTCAAAACAGCACAAACCAGAGCTATGATGCCTCTGCAAACCAGCTGTCCCAGAGCTCTGCCCCCCAGGACCTGAGCAGGAATGGTGGGATGGGTGGTGGCCCCTTCTGCCTGCTAAGCTACTCAGTCATGAGGGAAGATATAGATGTGCTCTCCGTGCGCTTCCAGCCCTTGGATGGAGTCTTAGTGCTAGTGCACTCAGACAAACCCTCTGTGATGCGGCTCCGCCTCGACACAGGCATGGACAGTGGGGGCTCCCTCACTATCACCCTGAAGTCCAACAAGGTACTATCCTTGCTGCTGGATAGCCTATCTGCAAGTGGCATGGGCTTGGCTCAGGGCACTTTGTACACTAACTTCATTCTGGTCACCAAGGCAACAGTGTGATAGCAGCAGGTATGGGCAACATAAAGGCCCTGTGTCAGGTTGGGAAGCCTCTCCTCTAGGGCAGCCCTATCTTTGTCAGTAGGTCCCAGGGCTAAGCTTGAGGGAACAGGCTGTGGAAATAGGTTGGGTCAAGTGTGTAGGCTGGAGGTGAGCCCTCTGCATGCAGGGGCCTTGGAGAAAGGCAACGTGACTGAGCTTATAGGTAGGGCAGATGGTGTGCTGGCCCTTTGGGGCCAAGAGGCCAATTCTGCATTACTTCCCTTTCCAGACTGAGGTCACAAATGACATCTTGGTATTGGCCTGTGTGAATGCTGCTTCACCCTTCCTCAACTTCAGTGCTTCACTGAACTGTACTACAGGTATGGTAGGCAGGTGGCATCTGGAGGGTGGCCCTAACCAAGCCCTCTGGTCTTGCTAACAGGACTTCCTGCTTTATGCAGCCTTTTTCCAGGGCTACCCTCTGTCTGTGAATGCCTCATCTAACACAGCCAACCTCATCATCCCTTACCCAGAGACAGACAACTGGTACCTTTCCCTGCAGCTTGCCTGCCCTGAGAATCCTGAGTACGTAAACCTGGGGCCCACCAATGAGGTTCTAGCTAGGAACAACCAGTTAAAGCATTGTGGTTAGGACCATGGCCTTCCTGAGCTTTCTTGCTAACAGTGAGGGATCAATTGTTATCCATGTATTAGAGGAGTCATCCTCCTTTTCTACGTGGTCATCCTTCCACAGCAGCTTTGGAAAGAGGAAAGGTCATCTCTGGGGCTGTCATCTCTTCTGGGGTTGTCAGGGCCTGGCAGGCTCAATTCAGGGTTCATAAGCCTATGGAAAGCCCTGATGGTAATTGGCCAGCAGAGGCTGCAGTCAGCTGTACTGTGCCTCCCACCCTTACAGGGACTGTGATCAGGCCATGGTTCACGTGCAGACTACTATATATCTGGCCCCTTGTTTTAATGACTGTGGACTCTATGGCCAGTGCCACCTCCTCCGCAGATATGGGTACCTGTATGCTGGTTGCAGCTGCAAAGCAGGTGAGAACTGGGGCTCTGCACACCTAGAGGCAGTCTCTGCTGCCATATATCCCAATCCTGTGCCTTTTCCTGTGGAACCCCAGCAGAGCTTTTGAGCATACCTTTTGAGCAAAGTAGGGAGGAGGCATGCCTCACATCCCCTCATAATCTAGTGCCCAAGCACAGACATGCAGTATCTCCAGGGTGGTACTGCTTCCTGACCTTGGCCTCTCTTGCCTCTTGCAAAGGTGTCTGCATGCCCACATCTGCCTATGCATGTACACATACCTGCTCATATAGTTTGCCTATACCTATACATATCTGCCCACACCTATCTATGTCTTATTTTTGTGTATACCTGACCCCACATGCCAAATCTATCAGTACCTGTCTATACTTGTCCCATATATACCTCTACATCTACTCCTGGTTGACAGAGGAAAGCTTCCCATTAGGACCTTCGCCCCAGCTGCCCACCCCAGGCCCCTGGGTGTTTTGTACCTCCAGGCTGGCGTGGATGGAGCTGCACTGACAACAGTACAGCCCAGACAGTGGCCCAGCAAAGGGTGGCTACGCTCCTGCTTACCCTCAGCAACCTCATGTTCCTGGCTCCCATCGCTGTGTGTGTGCACCGTGCCTTCCTGGTAGAGGCCTCTGTCTACCTCTATACCATGTTCATCTCCACGGTAAGCACAGCCCACATATTTGGGCTCCCTAGGATGGGGAGGTCCAGGATGCTGCTGACTAGCCCATCTTGCAGTTCTACCATGCTTGTGACCAGCCGGGAGAAGCTGTGCTGTGCATCCTCAGCTATGATACGCTCCAGTACTGTGACTTTCTGGGTTCTGGGGTATCTACCTGGGTTACCATCCTCTCCATGGCCCGACTGAAGACAGTTCTGAAACATGTGAGTGACCTCTGATGTGGGGTCTGGGCTCTGTGGGAATAAAAGCCCTCCCCCACACAGCATATGCAAGGAAGTGGGAGGGAGAAGGCAGAGAAAGTATTGGGGCTAAAGTCTCACCTGGTGATCAATCACCATCTGAAGCAGCTGCAGGCACCTATTAGGGGAAAGTGCTACTTTTCAAAAGACTCCAGGATGGAAGGTAGTGAGCAGGGCTTTGCAACACTTGCCAGCTCTGGCTAGATGTGGTGGCATATCTTTGGAATTCCAGCACTTGGGAGGGTGAGGTAGAACACCACAAGTTCAAGGCCAGCCTGGGATAGTGAGTTCAAGGACATCCTGAACTATGTAGCAAACCCTATCTTTAGCAAAAAAACACAATAGACCTCCCAGCTCAAGGCCCTGTTCAGATAGGAGCCCACACCACGCCATGCCTTCCTGAGAAACCCAATCATCCTCCTGGGTCCTTTGGTGTCAGAACACTGGGAATTTTTTTGCTGCAGCTGGACTGACCAATTCGAGTATATCTCTGGTGCCTGTGAACTGTGTTCTCTGTCTCTGCTCTGAGAACTTCAGGCCTGAAGCTACCTTGAGGGGCATCCTTGAGAGTTCCATGGTCAGGGGACAGGATTGGGAGAGGAAATTTGCAAAGTATTGGGGTCCAGCTGGAGTCATTGTGGGGGCATAAATCTGGAGAGAGACTGAGGCTGTCTTGATGGGAAAGTCCATAAACCCAGGAGTGCAGAGGAAGGGGAATGTGTGGGCACAAAGGTGCCATTTGTGGCTGTCTAGTTTGTGTCCAACCTTGGGGAGTGGCACTGTCTCCTTGTACCCAGAGATGTCTGGCTGGCTGTCTGTGCCTCAGAAATGTCAAGGCTGCTGGGTGTGGTGGCACATGCCTATAATCCTAATATTTGGGAGACTGAGGCAAGAGGATCTCCATGAGTTCTGAACAACCCTGGGCTACAAACTGAGTTCAAGGCCAGCCTGAACTACATAACAAGACCCTGTCTTAACCTCTACATAATAATATTAGTGATAATGATTAAAAGTTTTTATTAAAGATAAAAAGATGTCAGGGGCTGGGGATTTAGCTCAGCGGCATAAGCGCCTGCCTTGCAAGCAGGCAGTCATGAGTTTGATCCCTGAAAAAAAAAAAAAGATAAAAAGATGTCAAGGCTACACTCACCTATGGATGCAATGCAAGAGCCAAAGGAGGATAGCTTTCTTCCAGCCTACAGAGTAGGGCAAATTCTTCCAGCAGCTCCAAAAGGGGTAGATAGAACTTTTGAGAGATGGTGGGGTATGACAGGATGGCCATTTGTTTCTAATGGGTCTTTTTTTTTTTTTTTTTTTTTGGTATTGGGAATCAGACTCATGACCTCGTACTTTCCAGGCAGATGCTATGCTGCTGAGCTATATCCTTGCCCTTCCGTGCAGGCACAGATGACCCCAATTCAAAACTCTTGTGACCCCAAAGTCACCTTTGTGTCTTCTCCAGGTCTTGTTTCTCCTGGGTACGCTGGTTCTGGCCATGTCCTTGCACCTGAATCGTATAGGCATCTGGAACATAATGGGGCCCTGCCTCTTTGCCTTTGTGATCATGACTTCCATGTGGGTAAGGACTAGGGCAGGCAGGTGTGCCTGCCCAGACTCTGGGAGAAGGCCTATGTCCTGGCCCAGTTCCTAGTCCTGCTTTGTAAGCAGGTCTAGGGCCCAAATGCCTAATATCTGCTGAGGGCTTCTAGAGTTTTCCCTCCCACCTGACATATCCCAGAGACCCAGGGTGGGTATATGCCAGAGGTCTGGGTCTGAGGACCAATGGCCTTGTGTCCTAGTGCCCTCTCTAAGTTACCTACTTTCGTGGTTCTGTTGCCCAGACTTGGGGAGGCTATAACACCTAGCCCAGGGCTCTGGGAGCTTCAACCACACCCAGCCTGCACCAACATTAGAATGACTGTTTGCTTCAGGTGTACCGCTGCAGGCACCGGCACCAGTGTTATCCCACCTCGTGGCAACGCTGGGCCTTCTATCTCCTGCCTGGCATCGCCATGGCTTCTATGGGCATCACCATCTATGTGTTCCTGACAACCAACGACAACTATTACTACACACACAGTATCTGGCATGTACTCCTGGCTGGGAGTGTAGCCTTCCTGTTACCACCACGGGATAAGCAGGCTGAACCCTGGTCTTGCTCACAGAAGTTGCCCTGCCACTATCAGATCTGCAAGAATGATCGTGATGAACTATACACTGTGACATGATTCAGCCAGCTCTGGGACACCTGATACCGATAACCTCTTCATCCAGGAATAGGACCAAGGAAGAGAAACCCTGTCCAGCCCTGCCTAGATTGGTTTCCAACTGAATAAAATTGCCCTGAGACCCTTTGCTTCCTCTGCCAGAGGAAAGGAATATCCCCTCTCCAGCACACACACACACACACACACACACACACACACACACACACACACACAGAGGAACTGGTTCCCTCTTGTTGTCTGCTGTCTGCTGTTGACATCATCTCACCAGGAGCCTCAGCTTGTCTCAGTGGCTCTTGCTGTGGTCCCTGGAGATCGCAGATAACACGTGTGGGCAGAGCCTTAATCCTTGCTGGCCTCGTGGTGATTAGAGGCTGGAGGCAGTAAAGTCCCCTATTGCCTTGTTCTCCTGTGAGGTTGTGATGTGAGACCCACAGGGCCAAGGAGACCTGAGTCCCTGAGACTGGCAGTATAGTGATCCTGGCCTCCCTGATCCTGTGTGCCTGAATGCCTCCATAGGAACCTCATGCTGCTGCAGTTGCAGTGGGAGAGACCAAGGTTACCAGCAACTGGGGAATATAGGGCTTTGCCCTTTCCTCTTGTTCTCAGGTGGTGGAAAGAGCCTCCTGGGGAGGGCACTAGCCAGCTGTTCAAAAGTGTGTGATTCATGCCCTCCACCTCCACTTCTGGGGCCCTTGTCTGGCAAGCATCCTTTTGAGCAGGTCTTAAGAGCCCAAGTGATGGCTGTCCCCCTCCCTGCACTAGACTAAATAAGACTCAGAAAAGTGCCTCTGAGACCTGGCTCAGGTGACTGGGCTTACCGCCCATCTCCCCCAGGGGCTGGGAAGCTGGTGTTGCAGAGCCTAGGGCCATCCTCTGAGCCTCCTAAGGACCAAATCATCTTGCAGTTAGGCACCAAAGCATTCCTTATATGGTGGTTTAAAAAACGGATTTCAAGACTTTTTTTTTTTCTCTAAAGACAGATTCACTTTATAGTCCAGACTGACCTTGACTCAATGTAGTCCAGGTTGGCCAAGAACTGACAATTCTGGATTACAAGCATGCACCACCATGCCCTGGTTTTTTTTTTTTTGGATTGTTTTTGGTGTGTGACAAGGTCTCGATTTGTAGTGCAGGCTGACCTTGCACTAACTGTAGCCCAGATAGCCTCAAACACAGAGATCCTCCTGCCTCAGCCTCTAGTGTACTGGGTTTAGAGGTGTGTATCCCATTCCCAGCAAGCCATTTTTATGTGATAGGTGAATTTAATACTCTACACTGATTTTTCAAGCCTGAAAAGTTTTTACATTTTTCTGCTCTTTCCTGGGGTGGTAGGAGAGGCAGGACCCAACTTCTCGCAGTCCTCTCTGGAAAGACCTGGAACGTATTTGGCTATTGATGCTTTGAACCAGTATCTTTTCCACGAGATGTTCTCCACGGTCCCTAAAGCCAGGAATGGGGGCGGGACGAACGTAGACGAACAGCCTGAGTAGCCAGTCACCGACAAGCGAAGGTCAAGGCACCCGGCGCAGTTCCGGTTCCTCTGGCGTAGATTTGTTAGGTCTAACCCGAGTTGAGAGCTACAGCAGCGCGGTGCAATGCCTCTGCACAGGTTCCCGGTTCACCTGTGGAGGCAGCTGCGGGAAGGTATCTACTCGCGCCTGCCTGCGCATTTCCTGCGCTCTCTGGAGGACTCACGTTTGCCTACCCCTGTCCACTACCGGCCTCACGGGGCCAAGTTCAAGATCAACCCCAAGAACGGGCAACGGGAGCGCGTGGAGGACGTGCCAATCCCTATTTACTATCCTCCGGAGTCCCAAAAGGGGCTCTGGGGCGGCGAGGGCTGGATCTTGGGCTACAGATACGCCAACAACGACAAGGTGGGTGTGGGCTGGTTTATTAGTTTGCTGGACTCGGCTGTACCCAAAGAGCATGGTAACAAGTGAAGAGGTACAGATCTGCCAAACTTCACTGGCAAAACCAGAGGTATTCTGAGATGGGGTGGCCGAGCCTCGGGAAAACAGCACAGGCAAAGACATGGGAAGGGTGGCCATAGCAGTCAAAAGAAAAGCTAGGAGGAGAGACTTTACAGCTGAGAAGTGGGAGAGATGAGGTCGGTGTTCACCTACTAGCTTGACTTGGCCAAGATGTCTGTCTTGTGACAGGGTGCCTACTTTGCATCTTAATAGAATCAGGCATACTGCTAGGTATGGTGGTACACACCTATAATCCCTGCACTGGGGTGCTGAGGTGAGGGCATCACCAAAGTTCAAAGCTAACGTGAGTTACATAGTGAGACCCTGTCTTAGGGGAAAAAAAAAAAAAAAAAAAAAAAGAATCAAAAAGACAGAGACTTGAAGACAGTTTGGCAGGAGCGGAACCTGTCCCCACTGTTTGCTTATGGTGAGTCTGAGTCTTCTGGGAGGACCCTTGTATTTTTGAGGCCTCCCAGGGTACCCTTTTCCTGGAAAGAGTAAAGGCACTGGGGTACCTACTAGTCTGACCCCACCAGATAGTTGCTTTGGGCCCCACATGGTCTGTAATGAGATAGGGCACAGATCATGAGGTTTGTGTTGTGCTGTTAGCTCTCAAACAGGGTGAAGAAGGTGTGGAAGCCACAGCTGTTTCAGCGTGAGCTCTACAGCGAGATCCTGGACAAGAAGTTCACTGTGACTGTAACCATGCGGACCCTGGATCTCATTGATGAGGCCTATGGGTTTGACTTTTATATCCTTAAGGCAAGAGGGGCTAATGTATGATAGGGTCCTGTGGTCAGAGCAGTGACATATTGGAGCTTGTGGTGTCTGGAGAGTCACTGGCAAAGCATATGTAGGATCATTCCCTTTTCTGGGCAACCCTGGTAGGGCTTTCTCCCCACAGGAGTTCCTTATATGGGATACTGAGTGAAAATGAGTGAGAATGGCCACTTGCTTTTGATTCTTGAGCTTAACCTTTCTGTCTTGATCTACCTCAGGCCTGGGTGCTAGTGTTGCCCACCATGCCTGCCTGCTCTGGTGTAGCTGAGGGGTGGTTGGCAGGGTGGGTGGAGCCCATCAGCACCTGGCCCAAATGAACCTCCTGCAGACCCCGAAGGAAGACCTGTGCTCCAAGTTTGGGATGGACCTGAAACGAGGAATGCTGCTAAGGCTTGCCAGGCAGGACCCCCAGCTACACCCAGACGACCCTGAGCGGAGAATGGCCATCTATGACAAGTACAAGGTAAGGATTTCCCGTTTTCACTGCTGCCCATGGTCCCTGGCAAGGCTTAGCCTCACTGTGCCTTCTGTTTTCCTACCCAGGAGTTTGTCATTCCAGAGGAGGAGGCTGAGTGGGTTGGCCTGACGCTAGAGGAGGCTGTGGAGAAGCAGAGGCTTCTGGAGGAGAAGGTGAGCATGTAGGCGTGCCAGCTTTTGCTGCCTTTGCAGGGGTAGTCAGAGAGCCTGAAAAAGCAGGTGTCACATCTACTGGTGCACCTGTATCTGCTGTTGTGTATACCTGGAGGAGGTTCCTTCTGTCTTTTGTCCCTAGACTTTCAGTGAAAAGATTTTTTTGGGACTGGGGATTTAGCTCAGTGGCATAAGTGCCTGCTGGCAAGCACGAGGTCATGAGTTCGATCCCCAGTATTGCAAAAAAAAAAAAAAAAAAAAAAAAAAGAGTAAAAAAATTTGGGGGGGGCTGGGGGTTTAGCTCAGCAGCATAAGCACCTGCCTTGCAAGCAGGCGGTCGTGAGTTCAATCCCCGGTACCGATAAAAAAAAGTTAAAAAACAAAAACAAAAAAATTTTTGTACTGGGACTCAGACCCAGGACCTTGTGCTTGCCAGACGGGCACTGTACCACTGAGCTATATTACCAGCTTTTTTTTTTTTTTTTTTTTTGCTATGTAATTCAGCATGGCCTTCAACTCACTGTATAATCCACTGGGCTTGAACTCAAAATGATCCTTCTGCCTCATCCTCCTGAATGCTGGGATTCTAGGTGTGTACCACCACATCTGGCAGCAGAGCAAGATTTTTGACTGTGTTTACTTGGCTGCCTGGATTCCCCAAGGTCTTCCTTTTGTGTCTTAACTCTCTAGGAGGGTCTAGAGCCAGTAGCTAACAAGACAGGGAGCCCACCTATGGCATAGCAATTGGCAGTTTTTATTCTGTCTGCTTAGTTCATCTGTGCCTCAGGGAAACCAGAGGAAGGCTCATGGTTTGTGTGTCCCCCAAAAAGGGGAGGTCTCACCTTATGGACAGACTCTGCCTTCCAGGTTGACAAATTTGGTGACTAGCCTTGTAAGCAAAGCTGAGGGGTACAAGTCCTGCTATGCACCCATTTCTTGAGATGTCTGACCAACAGCAGTTGCCTCCCATTTTCCCTGGAGCCCCGGCTGCTGTTGGGTACTGTTAACCTCACTAGGACCCTTTCCCTTCAGGACCCTGTGCCCCTCTTCAAGATCTACACGGAAGAGCTGATTGAGCGGCTTCAGCAACAGGCGCTGTCAGAACCTGTGGTGGTGCAGAAGAGAGCCAGCGGGAAGTGACTAAATAGCCTCTTCAGTGCCTCACCACCAGGCTCAGCCTTTCTTGCTGGGTCTTTTATCACTGTGGACACAGAACTTGGGGGAGCCATGAGGGCTACCTGTGGGCAATGGGTGAATCTTGGTTCTTGTATGCTGACCATACAGCACCTGGGGGCACTTTTGTCCCGGGAACCCCCAGAGGCCTGGTACTAAGGAGAGGCCCTGCTCAGATTGGGGTAAATGCCAGATAACATTTATTGTCCCAGTGGGTCTGGGAGCAAGTAAAGTCTGAACCAGGTGGTATGTGTGTTCCTTTGGTTGGAGGACTAAGAATTTTGTCTGGAGACAAACAGTGGACAGACATCCACTGTCCCTGTCAGAGATCCAGTATGGGGAGTATGCACTCTCTGGTTCCAGCTGCTGTCCCCAAGGATCTGTGGACACTGAGGTTGTGTGCTGTTCCTTTTTCCACAGAGAGAATTCTATGTAGTTGATGTGTCTAGGGCATACATCCTTCTATTACTGACTCTTGGGTTGTGATTCTGGATGGGCACCTGGTGGCTGTTGGTGTGGCTACTGATGGGAGTCCTGTGACCTCAGCAAGTCACTGCTGATCATGTCTCCTGTAGCCCCAGGTAGTTTGGGGTGGACTCTCAGCCTCTGGATGTGCTCTTGGCCTTCAATCCAGAAATAGCCCTTTGTGTCTTTTTCTTTTCTTTTTTTTTTGAGACAAGGTTTTACTATGTATTTCAGGCTTGCCTGAAATTTAACTCACAATAGTCCTCCCACCTCAGACTTGAGTACTGGGATTGTAGGCCTACACCACCAGCCTGGCAAAGTACCCTATTTGGGGGAGGCCACATCAGTTTTATCAAATTCTCACAAATGCTTTTGATCAGAAAATGATGATAGTCCTCAGTGAATGACAGACCTACCCCCATACCAGAAATAAATTTGTAAGATAGGCGGCTATGGATCTGCCCTAACATTCTGCCTATAAGATGTGGGAATGCCAGGAATACATGCTCAGTCACACACATGCACAGAGACAGGTTCATGGCCACATGTGTTTACACATGGCACTGGGAATTAGATGCAAGGTGGGTGGTTTGTATTTTCTTTGCCCTCTGTGTATCTAGAGGCCAGGCCTGGTCATCTGAGCCACCATTGGAGACAGGGTCTCTTATGCAGTTTAGGCTGGTCTTGAGCTCACTTTGTAGCCCAGTCTGGTCTTGAACTTGTCAGTCTTCCAAGTGCGGGGATTATAGGCATGCACCATCATATCTGACATCTGAGCCATCTTCGGTACTCACTTTATGCTGGGAACTACACATCCTGCACTGATCAAGGTCAGCCTACAAAAGGCAGAGCTGCCTTGTGCTGGACCATACCTTGCCCTTTCCAGCTGGGTCTAAGCAGCTCAAGTCAAGAGACACTCCCTACTCTGACTGTATGCCAGGGATTGACTGAACCCATGTGTGTCTATGACAACAGACCAAGATCAGCCTTAGTATTGACGGGTTTTAGCTGGGCTGTGTAGGAGATGTAGGCTAAAGGGTAGACTGTTACTACTGCTATAGCTGGGTATGGTTTCCTTAGGTGGGTGTGAGTGGTACAGACTTTAGAAAAGTTGACATTGTTCAATCAGAGATGAGACACCAGAACAAGCAAGGGCCCATGCCCACTGGGATGGGATGGATGTGAGGCAGCCTGTGGACCCAGCTGAAATTCTTTGCCACAACTGTCACCTTGCTGGTCTCACCTGCCTGTTGAGCTCTGCTCAGGTGCTCAGTGACTGGAGGATGGTGGGAAAAGCAGACACGTCCTGTTGGGTTATCTGGATACCACGGACCCTGCTCAGCCTGTCACTGCCAGGCTCACCCACCCATGTTCTTTGTTAGCCTCCATTTACCTATGCTATCACACCTGACAACTCCAGCTCCACTGGCTTCAGATGAGATTAAGTTTTTTGGAGCCCCTGGGGTTTCTCTAGTCCTTGAGCCACCACAGGTCCATAACATTCCAGCCTCCTCTGACATGGCATTAGCAGCATCCTCAAGCTCACCCCATGTCCCAGGTTGATCTCTTCTCCTTGACCACACCACTAGCTAACCCTAGGCAATGTCTATCCACATATCACCCTTGGACTAGATTGTCTGCTGGTGGCTTCTAGCATAGCTAGGGTTAGGGCTAGGGCTCTGTCCTGTGACAAGGAAGCTCAGACGAACCAGGGTGGTATGAAGAAGTCTACAGCCAAGTCCAGAGGGCTACTCAAGCAGCCTGAGTCCTATGGATCTGAGAACAGTCAGCTCCAAACCACCTATTGCCAGGTTCATCCCAAGCCCAGTTCTGTGGGACCAACCAACTCTCTAAGGCTGCTTCGCAGGATATGAGAACCTCCTGGACCCATGTTCCTGTACTGTCCTCACCCCAGTCTCTCTGGCCTTAGCAGGGACCTCAGTGGCTGTTTGGCCCCCTAGAGCCAGCCGCAGCTCTCATCCCTTCCCAGGAGTCTGAGGGTCACACCTTCTCCACCCTGAGCTCCCCTTCGATATTCTGCTCAGCAGTTGTGATCCAGGGCATAGGCCAGGAGGTAGGGAGGAGGGATGTGGGTTTCCAGGGCTCTCTCAAGGTCTTCAGAAGGCTTCTGACCTGATAGTGTTATTCCTGGGGGCACTGGACAGCCCAAACTGCTCCTGGCTGTGACAGAGAGTGGGTGGTGGTGGCTTCAAGGCTGCTGATACTCTTAAATGTCTAGGTTGGTCAGTTCATGGAGAGGGACATATCTGCCTTTACCTCACTGAGAACTGGGGATGGAGAGGGGTTCTTTGTACGCAAGAGGGCGCTGCAGCCAAGGGGAGAGCAGGTGCAAAGTCAGATCTATCACAGAATATAGACCAGGTCCCAGAATTCTGCCAGGTGAGTATAATGGCCCACAGGGAGCTGGCCTTCCCAGATCCTTAGATGGCTGTTGAGAGGGGATCCTGGGAGCAGATACATGTGTTCAACTGACAGTGGCCAGAGTGATTGGTGGAGTGGTTTGTGAGCAGAGATAAAGCTGCAGATATTTTGCTATCTGAGTTAGGGAAAGAGCTTGGCTTTGCTCTCCTTGGATGGGGAGTTCTTACTGATTTTCCTTTCCACTGCTCCCTACTTACTATTTTCTCACCAGACTGGGCCTGGATTTCAGTCCCTGGGGCAAGCCTGACCTGAAGTCCTTTTCTCTGCAGGGGCTCCAGAAGGACTGCAGATTACTTGAACCTCTACCAGGGGTTCAAGCAGGGCACAGAGGGTCTTGGGACAGCTATAAGAGGGACAGAGATGCCCTGCATGCCTGATATGAGTGAACACATGAAAATGCTTAATAGCTGGTGTGGAAACATCTACTATACAGCCACACCCAGTCACCTTTCAGTGGGGACCTTGGCACAGACCCACTGGCGGTGCCGCCTGCTCCCTCCGCAGTCAGGAGTGGCTCGGGGGTGGCGGTGTCTAAAGGGGCTGGTTGCCATGGCTACCATAAGGTTCTAAGGCCTGTCATCTGGTCCCTGCCTCAGCCAATCGGCGGCAGGAACCGGAGCTGCAGCCTAGAGTCACGCTTCTGCCTCCCAGCCACACAGTGGCCAAGAGCAGGGACCGGCTTCCTGGAGTGGCTGAAAGTGCTCCGACTGACGGCCAAGCCCATCATGGCGGACAGTGGAATGGTGGGGCGTGAGCAGGCACACGGAGCCAGGCAGGTGAGGTAAGCCAGGCGGGTGGACACAAGGATGGACAGGGGGACAAGTAGTCTATGTGGTCCTCGCAGCCCATTGTTCTCCTGGCTGCAGCTCTGCCTAGGGCCCACCCCACCCTCAGGTGCATGTACAAACACACCCGCCCACACCCTTACCCTCAGACCCTCTCCCGATATGTCCCAAGGAAGGGTCAGGGGAAGAAACAAAGGAAAGAGCATGAGGTGGAATGAACCCCAGCGTACACAGACCCAGAAACTGCCTTGGTAGGTCTCCCATGTCAGATTTCACACAGAGGCGGCATCAAAGACCCCTGACTGGTCTGGGCCCTCTGTGTCCCGGCCAATATCCCTGGGCTCTGCAAAAAGCCGTGTTAAGTCGGCATGGTTTAAGGAGCTTTTTTGTTGTTTTCAAGGATAAAAAGAAAAGAAAAAGAAGCAATAGAAAGAAAAAATGTCCACCTATAATCGGGGAGCGGTCAGCCCAGATGGATCAGAAACACCAAATCCCATTACTCGGGACTTCAGAGCACAGGCCCTGCTAGCAGCTGCGATTAAGAGCCTGTCAATGGGGTCCCCTTTGGAGATCAAAGGCAGGCATGCTCGTGTGTGTGCGTGCGCGTGCATGTGTGTGCGTGTGCAAGTGTGGGGCAGAAGTATGTGCTGTGGATGACAGCGGAGGGGCTAAGCACCACAGCAGTAGGCATGTGTGTCTCCTGCTTGCTATGGCCACCTTTTATGTTGCTCATGTCATTGCTGCTGTGTATGTATCCAGGGGGCTCAGCCAGGCACAGGCAAGGCCTAGTACCTGATGGCCACACCCTCTGAAAGGCAGTTTTGGCTGGGCCTACAACGCTCCTTGAGCATTCACTTTCTACTAGTGTCTGGTCCCTTCCCCAACTTCTGCACTGAAGGGCCTATGGGGACCAAGAACACAAATCTAGCTTGGGCAGAGCTGGCTGTGAGGTGGCCCAGGGCTGTGCATGTGACCACTGACCAGGTCCTACTGCCCACAGAGGCTGTTCTGAGCTGGCCTGGCAAGTGCATCCTGGGGGTTCAAAGCTGCTGTCCATGTGATTGTTAGGTTATTAGGTAAGCTCTGAGAAGCAAATCTTTTAATCCACTGTGGCTAATCCAGTGCACTTTTGTTTGCCACGACAGATTCTGTAGCAACAAAGGGGCCAGAGGGACCCTAGCATACATAATTGCATACTTAGAACTTGGCCTCATAGCCACAGGACTCCTAGGCAGCAGAGAAAGACATTTTAGGACAGTGTAGAAGATGGCACAGGGAGAGATGTGGGCAGCTGGCCACCTGGGCACCATGTTCCTCACCTCCCTGTTAACATATCTCCTGGCCATTGAGTGGTAGCTATTAGGTTTTGGGACTGTGGAGATTTTGGGGAGATCACTGAAATGAGTCAGGTGGAAGGAAAAATGATAACCAACATAGGGTGCCAAGGGTATCTCTTACCTAGAGATGTTGTGGAGATAAAGCTGTCAGGATGGGGCTATATACTCAATGTAGGGAGCAACAAGGGACAGCACAAATATGTGCAGCAGGTGAGCAGGTGTCCCCAAGAGAAGAATAGGAAGTGGCCTGCAGGGAGGTGTGGGTTTTTTTTTGCTGAGGCACTAGAGATAGACACACACACACACACACACACACACACACACACACACACACAGATACCACCTATTCTGGGAAAATGATGCTGGCGTTGGGGCAGGCCAGCAGGCCTTTGCCTCTTCTAGAGACATGTCTTAGATACCATACTTGGGCCACAGCCAGGCTGGCCATGCACTCCATCCAACTGCTCTGGCCTGTCCCTGGAGAGTAGCACATGGTCTTCTAAGGCTGCGGGCAGATCAGGACCTTCTCTTGGACAAGGGGCATACTCTGGCTCAGAGAGGTCCCTGGCTCATCCAGACAGAAGAAGCCACACAAATATGTAGGGTAGTAGGCCAGCCCTGGCATATCTGATGTCCCTGAGGTTCCTGAGTGGAAGAGGTGCTAGACTGAAGGCAGGTTGCTCTGCCCTTCTTCCTAGGCCATTGGGATTGAGGTGATGGACAAGTGCTATCCTGGACAGGGCACCTTTCACGCCCACCTGCTAGCCCTGACCCTACTGGACTATCTTCTTGTGTCCACTCTTCCCTAGATCCTGGGCAAAGACATTTCCTTAGGGTCATCTTTAGAGACAGTGTGAGGAGGACTCCCCTTAGGACATCAGGGTTCAGATCTTAGTTGGAGAATGTGGATGGTATCCTGGGAAGGAGCTCATAGGTCTCAGTGATCTTTTGTCACTGCTTTCTTGTTAGCCTTTGGGGATCTGGCTTTTATATTTATTTGTTTGTTTGAATACTGGGGATAGAACCAAGGTCCCATGCACACTAGGCAAGTGTTCCACCCCTGAGATACACTGGCTCATAACTCTGGGGGTTAGCAGGGACAAGGGTGCTATGATAAGCATGTTGGGTGTAGGGGACATGGAGGTGACTGGTTCCTCTAGGGGACATACATGCATCAGCTAACTAGTGCCCAAAACAGATAGTAACCCTAGACCCTAACCCAGAGGGAGAATGCAGTAACCACAGCATCTGATCTTAAAAATCCATACCAGCAAGGCTGCGTGGCTCACTGTCTGGCCCTCTGTGGGTGGTCTTCCTTACTCCAGAAAGAGAGAACAGATACCTAGCTGAGATCTATCCTGATGACAAGAGCCATCAGGGCCACCCATTGGGTATAGTGGCAGTCATGTCAGCCATTATTTATGAAGCATTCACCCTGGCTGTCACAGTTGAGGCAAAGCCTTGTTCCTGCCTCCAAACCCTTAGGTTGGCATTGAGACAGCTTCAGTGGTAATGGGGTTGAGAGAACTCCAAATAGCAAGAGTAATACAGCATGACACACGTGGTACACAAGAATAAAGCCAAGAGGAGGCAAGACCTATCGAGGGGTACACCAGATGTAGACCCAGGGCCAAAACAGGTCCCATCTGAGAGAGATCAAAGTTTGGTCCAAGAGCACTACACTTCCACTTGATTCCAAGGTCCCAAAGTATCTCTCAGGAAGGTGTCTACACTTTCTTACCAGTCCCCAGGCCAAAAGCGGGGGGGGGTGATGTGGCAGGCACAGGACAGGGCTGCCACACTGATGAATGTTGCCATGGGTCAGCTCTGCCCCAAGTTCTTCTTCTTTGCTGCTATGTCACTCACATGTGTTACACTGATACTGGTAGGAAGATGGTGGTTGCCGGAGAGGTCTGTGGCTTCCATGTGATAACTGCAGGACATTCCTGAAACATAAAGAAGAAAACGTGACCCCTCCATAATGTAGCTCTCCGGTGTACCTGTATAAATATTCTGGGATAGGCTCATAGTCCTCTGTAGACATGTATTCTTTTTTCACAGAAGCTGGCACCTGTGTGGGGGCCTTGTAGCTGTCTGTGGTGCTGCTTCCATGAAGAATGGGGGAAATACCTGGGAAGAGTCCTGAAAGAATGTGGGTCCAAGCATCTACTTGGCCTCTCTTAGCTCTGAACTAATGGAAGACTCAGGGATGAGAGGGGAGTCAGGGGCTGATTTATGGGCTGGCAGGGTTATTCTATCCTTCCTCACCAGATCTGGACCATCCAAATCCTTCCTCCTAAGCATTGGGAACTGTTTTGTATTGAGGCTGCTGCCCAATCCTTGAACTGCAAAGAAAGCTATGTAATATCTCCAAGTCCTGCCTTCAGATACCTTCTGCTACCCCTACCTCCCACACCTGTGAACTGGGGAACAGAGGCAGGGAATGAACAGACAGGAACTGGCTGGGCCTAGGATTCCTCTCCTCTAAAATCTGCGATCAGAACTGTCCTTTTTCATGCTTGTCTTCCTGAGTTGGTACATGGATGATGGTTATTTCTTCTCTGTAGCTGGTAGCCCTCTCCTGTGGTTTTCTCCAAGTGTATTGCCTCTCATATCCTCCTTAGCACATATCCAGGTGCCTCCTGAATGATTTCCTTTGTATCACTTTTTGTAAGTGGTTTTCCAGAGTCAAGTGGACAAATACATGAAAGACTTCAAAGCTCACTTTATTTCAAAGTATTCTTTTTATGTCTGGGTTGAAGAAAATGATTACATTTCTGCTCTTAAATTTTTCCTTTGGTTCTTGAAAAGAAAGCCTGAATAAATGTCACAGAAGTTAATCGAATAAAAGCCTTTGGTGACAAATTCCTGCTCCCAGCAAAGGGCTTTTACATCTTAAAGGACCCTGTGTAGTGAAACAAAGGTGCAATCTCCAATCTCAGAAGTGAGCCTCTTCCCCACACTGAGTGCTGCCCTCCTTGCCCCATCTCTTTAGATTCTTACTCAATTTCTTTCCAGTCTAGCCTGGGGTGGAAACTTTCTTAGCTGCTTTCTCTGGTCCTGCAAACCCTTCTCTAATCTTAGACACTCCCCTACAGCCACACTACAACCCACCCGAGAAGGGATGCACATTTCCTCCAGGCTTCCTGACTCCCTTCCTGTCCCTACAGGGCAGAGGCTTGGAGAAGACAGAGGCCGGAGGGTCCTGTTCTGGTCCCAGGACTTGGGGACACCCACCACCCTGGGCCAGGAGGAGGATCGACATGGACTTGATCCCAAGAGCATGGCCTGGCCATGGCAGCAGCGCTGCAGAATCAAGGCAAGCACTGGGGCTGGAGGTTGGGAGGGGGAGGTAGCCCAAAGGCCAATGCCTAAGGGTTCTGCTTTCTCTCCAGCCCTTCTTCATCTTATGGAGGCCCTTTGTGCTGAGGGCTACCTACTGCCCACTCAGTGGCCACTCACTGTCTCTTCTAATGCTCTAAGGCTGACTGGGTTGGGGGAGGGCTGCAAAGGAGTCTCAGTGCCAGAACTTTGGGACTTGGGGCTGTCCTGAATGGACATGGATGAGTGTGATACCTGCTGCCAGGGTCTGGTGGGACTCATACTGGTTTAGCAATGCAGCTTCATCCATGCTAGCCCTGCTGCAAAGCAGACTGGGATGCCTAGGAGCCCTCATTCATGCTCTTCCTTTCCTCTACAAGCAACCCTGGGCATCCAGTGCTATGCTGAGTCTCTGGAGAGGCTCAGCCCAGGCAGGTACCTTTACTGTGCAGCTGGGTAGTGAGCTTCCAGCTGGGAGCCCCAACCAAAGACTTCTGCATTTGCCTGGGAGATAAGAAGGATGAGGGGCTGGGCACCAAGGGTGAGCAATATACAGTATCGAGGAATAGATGGTGACATTAGAGGTGACTTGGAGGAACATCATAATGGAAGCATGGAGATAAGCAAGACTAGCTACAGCAAGAGTAGGTGATACAGGGAAAATACCACCTGGAAGAGTCCTGAAAAAATGTGAGCACCAGGGATCCCTGGGAGGCTTAAAGCAGAGGGCACTCCAGGGGAGGGCTGTCGCTAAGGTGTAAGATGGATGGGGTGCTGGGAACTCTGGGCAGCAAGAGGTGACCCTCTTGTCTGAAAAATGAAAGCTGCCCAACGTGTCAGGGAGAGGTCTTGGCCTGTCATGGCATGGTAGATGAGACTTCAGGAACATTGATTAATGGTACACATATCCTTTTCTTTGGGGAGCAACTGATAGAGATTGAAACCTAGGCAAGGCCCTTGAATCAGGAGTAGTGCTGGTTCTGGAAAGGTAGTGTTGGCCAGAGCCAGAGTAGGGTGTAAGGGCTGCTGCTAGGTAGGTGTCTCTTTTGTTATTGTGTGCCTGAGGCAGTAACCTTTGTCTTTTGCAGCCTATAGAAGGTGGTTTACATGGATTAGCCTGTGAGGTCAGGACATGCAAAGCCTTCCCTCTAAGGCTGGCCTAGGATAGTGAGACCATTGGGCAGGGTTGGGCACCATTGGGCTTTTGCCTTTGAATGGATCCTGGATAGTGCCTAGGAGAAATCAAAGAGGAAGGGCATGCATCCCAGTAGGGCCTTGGCCAACCCTAGCCTACAGCTCTGTAGATTGGCTCCTGCGTAGGAGGCAGCTAGTATTCTGTTGTATGCCCTGGTCCTGTCTCAGTCCTTACTGCTCAGAGCAGCCTCCTAGGCCACTTTCTCAGGGTCCTGGGCAGCTGGAGACAATGATATTAAGAAAGGCAGAAGTGAAGAAAAAAAAAAAAAAAGAGAGAGAGAGAGAGAAAGAAAGGCGAAAGCGAGAGGCTGCACGTTACCAGGGGTTTGGCTCCTGATGAGCCTGATCCTGCCCACCGACACTGCAATCCCTGGGAAATCTGTCTCTTGTCCTGCTGTGCACAGCGATGAGTGAAAGGCCTTCGGTCCAGAGCCCAATAGGAGGAAGACTGCCTCCGGTTACCCTGCTGCCACCTGGCTGCTAAAGAGCGGAAGGCGGGTGAACATTCACGGATTGGCGTAGGCTGAACGCTCGGTGGCCAGTGCTGAACTCTTTGATGGCTGCAAACCTAGGGTTCCTCCCAGTGGCACTTCCGCCAGACTACCCTCTGGAATTAAGCCGTCACCGCGCGCACGCGCACGCGCAAGTCCGCAAACAACGTTCTGATTTCGCCCCACCTTGGCAGACGTGCCCCCGCCTTCGCCGCGCCCTTACGCTATAGTCCCGTCCCACTATCGAGGCCACGCCCCATCACTTTCCTGTTCCCCGCCCCCACGTCGCGGCCCCGCCCCCGCACTTCCGGGCGGCGCCGGCGGGGGCGCTCGGACCTGGGCTTCCGCGCTCTGGGTTCGGGCGCGGGGCTCCTAGAAGCAATTGCGGTCGCTACCGCCGCCGCCTCGCAAACCCGCCCGAGTTGGGTCGGAGCCTTGTCCCTGTCGAGCGGGCCGCTGAGAGCGGGAGGCCGGGCCACGGCGGCGCCTCGCAGCCTGCCTGTGCCCGCCTCTGGGCCTCCGGCCGCTGAGCCGCCGCGGCCGCGATGGGGGCCGCCTCGGGCCGCGCCCCCGCTGGGGCCCGCCCGCCGCACCACGGCTGAGCACCTGGTCTGCGCCGCGCCGCGCCGCCGCAGCCGCCGCGCGCCGGTGAGTAGTGCGGAGCCCGGTGGCGCGCTCCCGTGGCGCGGAGGGCCTGCTGCCCGCTGCTGCCGTTGTAGGCCGCGTTAGGCCGGCGGGCGGGGACCCGGAAGAGGGGCTCTCCGGGAGGCGTGCAGGGAGCACGGGCTGCAGGCCAGGGAAGTGTGGGGAGCAAGGAGTGTGCGCAGAGGTCTTCGGAAGTGTAGGTTGTGCGGGTCCGAGTGTGTGTGGAGGTAGTAGTGTGCAGGAGCGCGGGGTGTGCGAGGCAAGGGAGTGTGCGGAGAGGCCTGCAGGAGTGCAGGCTGGATAGCTCTGGGGGATGTGCGTGTGGTGGGATAATGTGTGGCTCCGAAGGTGTGCTCGGAAGACTTGACTGGCGCTGTAGGAAGTTGTGTACTTTGGGAAGCAGTGAGGACTGATGTGCAAGGGAACGGGTGTTAACGGGGTAGGGAAGGGCAAGGGTCTGAGCATTGGGGTGTGTAAATAGGGAAGAGAAAAAAGACCCAGGATTTTGAGAAGGGGCAGGGTATGCACCTAGATTATGTACCTAGAAATGTTTGTTGCGGTGTAAGGTGTTTGCTCTTCGGCCTGGGACGTTTAGGTATGAGTGGAGTGTATGGTAGCTGGTAGGGCCAGGCAGTGTGTGCAATAGTTCTTCCTTTTTTTTAAATAGTTCTTCCTTTTCACAAACCCCTCTCCCCGAAAATTGTAGTAATGAGACAGTCTGCAACCCAAGGAGGGCACTCACTGTCTGAGTCCAGGCTGTGTGGTCTGGCTGTTGGAGTATCCAGTTGCCCTGGCGTCCATGCCCTTCAAGTTGATGCCTTGCTTCCAAAATACAGTTCTTTCTCTGGGGGTTAGGTCTTAGAGTCTGTCCTCTCCAAACAATTTGAATTCAGCCAACCCTGAAACCAGATCTGCACACTTTGAGTTTAGCAAACATACATCAATGCCCTGGGGATTTTTCTCAGCCTATTTGCAAGGTAACTTGTAAAGGGTTCTCATTTGTGTGTGTGTGTGTGTGTGTGTGTGTGTGTGTGTGTGTCTACGTGTACACCCCTCCTTTTTGCTTACATGCGTGTTGCTGGACTCACAGGCTGTTTCAGAGAACATATGCAGTGTAACCTTAACTATCCAAGATAGCCAGCATTTGCAGGTTTCAGTTTTAGGAGCTTCTATTCAGGGACAGAGATAGGAAAGGACACAACACAGTTTTTGTTTGATTTTCAGCAGGTGTTGACTTGTCTTAGATTTGTTTTAGAGAAACTAAGTGGACGTTTTTGTGTTACGTTAATCATTGAGAATTTAAGTAATGAGAATGATTTACATGTGATCCTTCAAGAGTTTAATCTGCAGACATTTGTTAGTCATCTGGCTACATCCATGGTCCATGAAGATCAGAACTTTGAAAGTTAGATCTGAGTAAAATAAATACATGTACACACTTATAGGATCAAACTTGCTACCATGGTACCTAGGGGGTGTGTGGTTTAACAGTGCCTAAGGGTATTTTAAATGAAGTATCACACTTGAAGTTTTCCCAGGCTATGTGCCAGATTTGGTACTTGTGGGCTTTAGACTCTCACCTAAATTAACATAGCTGCTTTATGTGTAGGGTGCATGTGTGTGTACCCTAAATACTATGTGTGCTTCCCTATGGGAAGCATAGAGGTTTTGGAAAACATTTCAGCATCAGTAATTGTGGGGGTGTTCACGTGTTTTCAGGGACACTGAAGGTCTTTTGTCAGTTGACAGCCAAAAATAGATGTGATTTGTGAGACATGCTCTGGCCTCTGAAATGTAGTTTGAAATGATCAGGATAGATTTGGTTCATACCTGACATAAAATGTGAGTTTTGAATGACAGCTGCATTTCTTTAATCAAGGGCTATATTTTGCATTTACTGCTGTTTTTGGAGAGTTCAGCATCTGAAAAAGGTAGTGTCTTGAGTCTGGGGTGAATGGTCTTTTGTATATCAGGGAAGTAAATGTTTCAGATGACCCTTGGTTATAGATCTGTGCTAGGTATGGAGGACCATACTGAGTGATTTATGTGGAACAGGAGCACTCAAGGAGAGCAATAGTATCTAGCCTCTGATTTGAACCCTGTCTGCTTAACTGCTTTTCAGTTTCTAGTGCCTGGGTTTTTTCTCAACTATGAGCTGCTGTGTGCCTATATGAACAAGGTCAGGTTTAGGGATGTAGGCCCTGTTTTCTTGTGGTGGCAGCCTGGACAAAATGATGCCAAGCATCATGAGCTGGTGTGGAGTTGTAGGATACTCATTCTTTCTAACAGGTTCTTAAAAGGTAACTTCAGTTGGAGTAGGGATACCTGTGAGCAGTAGGGGGCCACAGCTCACAGGGTTTTGACCTTAAGAAACAGGATGGCCCTGCTGAGGTTTAGATGACTGCCTACTTAATAAATTATTAGTTAAGCTGAGCATGGTGGGGCATGTCTCTAATCCCAGCACTCACAGGAGGAACCTTGAAAGTTTGAGACTATCCTGGGCTACAAAGTGAGCTGAAGGCCAACTTCAACTGCAGAGCCTGAGACTCTGTCTCAAAAACAACAAAAACAAGTTATTAGTTGAAGAGTTACTATTTAGCATAGTAATTGTGATCTAACCTACATCTATACATGGATCTTTCTTCTAGCCATTAGTAGCTTTTGGCAGGTGAAGGGTGTTCAGTGTAGACTAGGTGTTGGAGGTAGATTTTATGGATGCTGAGACCCAGCAACGTCCAATGGTATTGGCTTTAGGGATTTATCTTGCATACTGTGGCTTGTTCAGTGCTTGCTTTAAGCATTTAGCCCTGATGTATTTGTAAAACCTCTTCTCATTCCTCCTGTTGTTAGAATCACTTGCATCATGGCAGGCTGTATTGCAGTCTCCCCCTTGGCTAGATTGACAGCATAATCAGAGCTCATGGCTGTGTGGGCTCCTATAAGATGTAGCAGGAAGGACCAAAAGACTATGGGATAGAGACAAGGGCAGGGTCTTTTGCACAGCCCATGCAGGCTTACAGCAACAGCAGCAGCAGTATAAAAACCATAGTTGGGTGACCTCTAAGAGGGCAAGTTGTTTTATTTCACTTTATGGAGTTAAATTGTATGAGCTGCCAGGCTGTAATCCCTGTACATGCCTATAATCCCAGCATTGCCTGTAATCCCAGCACTCCCTGTAATCCCAGCATTTGGGAGGATGAGGCAGGAGGATTGCTATGCCTGAGTTACATAGTGAGTTCAAGGCCAGTCTACATTGTGTAGTAAGACCCTGTCTCCAAAAACAAAACAAAATTCTTAAGAGCCATGTGGTTCCTTGGCTAAAAATCATAGATTTGGTTCTCTTTTTTTTCTGTGCCTTCTCTGTCCCGTAAACTCTCCAGTCACTATCAAAAGGGTAGCCATGTAAGAGGCATTAATAGCTGTATATTGTACAGCTTTCTGATTTCTACAGTTATCTACATTGATGACAACAGAATGCCTTTGTATGTGGCCATGTTTGTTCATACTTGGTCCATGGAATTGAAGGTGACCCACAATTAAGTGCTCTTTCAGGTGTGTGTTGAGAGCAGGAGGGACACCTTGCTGTATGCTTGCACATATTGCAAGGCATGTCAGGTATGAAGTGATGCAGTAGGCAGAAGACATTCAGGCTATGGGACAAGGAAGGTGTCTGTTACGTGGCTCTTTTGTATTTCTTTGTTGCCACATCCTGGGATGATAGTCCTCATGTATGAGATACCAGCTCACTGCTTTCCTCTTTCTGGCCTTCTGCCTCCTGGTTACCCAGCTTTTTAGCCAGGTTGAGATAATCTTCAGACTTCTGGTTTCTCCATAGTGTTTTCACAGAAAGAAGGACACTGGAGGGGAAAGGTGCCATCTGTGTTCTTGGCATTCACTTAGTGTTAGAGGCAGTTCTGTAGGTGTAAAAGTTTCCAGAAGTTGCCTTAATGTAGAGCAAGCCTTGTGACCAAAATGTCTCTATTGGAAATTTACAGTGAGTTTCTGCTTTGAGTGTGAGTGGGAGGGCATCACTATGAGCTTTGTCTCTAGTGAACCTCTGGTTATAATTCCGTGGACTACCTTTCCTAATCCTTGTCCTCTTAATGGTTTCAACAGGACAGATTGATTCCCTTTGGAGCCGTAAGTACTGATGTATTAGGGTGCAGCGCTCATTGTTCATTGACGCACAGAGTCCCAAAATGAATATCCAGGAACAGGGTTTCCCCTTGGACCTTGGAGCGAGTTTCACTGAAGATGCTCCCCGACCCCCAGTGCCTGGTGAGGAGGGAGAACTGGTATCCACAGAGCCAAGGCCCATCAGCCACAGTTTCTGTCCTGGGAAAGTTGCTGGCATTAAAGGTGAGACCTCAACAGCCACCCCGAGGCGCTCAGATCTGGATCTGGGGTACGAGCCTGAGGGCAGCGCCTCCCCAACCCCACCTTACTTGAGGTGGGCTGAGTCGCTGCATTCTTTACTGGATGACCAAGATGGAATCAGCCTGTTTAGGACGTTTCTACAGCAGGAGGGCTGTGCCGACCTGCTGGACTTCTGGTTTGCTTGCAGTGGCTTTAGAAAACTTGAACCCTGTGGCTCGAATGAGGAGAAGAGGCTGAAGCTGGCACGAGCCATCTACCGAAAATATATCCTGGATAGCAA